TTCACTGCCTCTGCTTATTTTACGCTACTGCTTAATAAAAGCAACAGTTAGTCACTGCCTCAGCTAATTTTACACTACTACTACTTAATAAAAGCAACAGTTAGTCACTGCCTTTGCTTATTTTACACTACCACTTAATAAAAGCAACAACTAGTCACTGCCTCTGCTTATTTTACACTACTGCTTAATAAAAGTAACTATTCACTGCCTCTGCTTATTTTACGCTACTGCTTAATAAAAGCAACAGTTAGTCACTGCCTCAGCTAATTTTACACTACTAGTTAATAAAAGCAACAATTAGTCACTGCCTCTTCTTATTTCACACTACTACTACTTAATAAAAGCAATAATTAGTCAATGCCTCTGCTTATTTTACACTACTACTTAATAAAAGCAACAACTAGTCACTGCCTCAGATTATTTTACACTACTACTTAATAAAAGCAACAACTAGTCACTGCCTCTGCTTATTTTACACTACTACTTAATAAAAGCAACAGTTAGTCACTGCCTCAGCTTATTTTACACTACTGCTTAATAAAAGCAACAATTAGTCACTGCCTCTGCTTATTTTACACTACTTCTTAATAAAAGGAACAGTTAGTCACTGCTTCTGCTTATTTTACACTACTGCTTAATAAAAGTAACTATTCACTGCCTCTGCTTATTTTACACTACTGCTTAATAAAAGCAACAGTTAGTCACTGCCTCAGCTTATTTTACACTACTACTTAATAAAAGCAACAATTAGTTATTGCCTCAGCTAATTTAACACTACTACTTAATAAAAGCAACAGCTCGTCACTGCCTCTGCTTATTTTACACTACTGCTTAATAAAAGCAACAGTTGGTCACTGCCTCTGTTTATTTTACATTACTGCTTAATAAAAGCAACAATTAGTCACTGCTTCTGCTTATTTTACACTACTTCTTAATAAAGCAACAATTAGTCACTGACTCAGCTTATTTTACACTACTTCTTAATAAAGCAACAATTAGTCACTGCCTCTGCTTATTTTACACTACTAGTTAATAAAAGCAACAATTAGTCACTGCCTCTTCTTATTTCACACTACTACTTAATAAAAGCAACAATAGTCACTGCCTCTGCTTATTTTACACTACTGCTTAATAAAAGCAACAGTTGGCACTGCCTCTGCTTATTTTACACTACTACTT